CAGGAAGCTGGAGATGTACGGGATTCGCCCGCCCCCGGCCAGCGACGGCGAGGGGACGCAGATCAACCTGGCCGTGACACACATGGGGGTGCTGGTCCTGCGGGTGAGCCCGGGGCTGCCAGCACCCATCTGGGGTGGCCTTTCCCCAGGGACATTGCACCCGGGCTGAGGGGTCTCTTCAGTCTGGAGAAGACTGAGGGGGATCTCCTCAACGCTTCTCAATCCCCAAAGGGAGGGTGCCGGGGGGATGGGAACAGTCTGTTTCCAGTGGTGCCCAGTGACAGGACAAGAGGGAACGGGCACAAACTGGAGCATCGGGAGTTCCATCTGAACCTGAGGAGGGCCTTCTCTGCTGTGAGGGCGGCAGAGCAGTGGCACAGGCTGCCCAGAGAGGTGGGGGAGTCTCCCCCTCTGGAGCCATCCCAAACCCGCCTGGACGCCGTCCTGTGCCACTGCTGGAGGTGCCCCTGCTCTGGTGGGGGTGGGATGGGGGAGCTCCAGCGGTCCTTCCCACCCCCACCAGGCTGGGATGCTGTGGGCGACGTCGGGGGACCCTTCTCCTCCCCGTGTGCTCCAAACCCTCCCAAATCCTCCAGTAGGGAGCACCCCCCAGCAGACCTCAGGAGGTGATGGTCCGGGGCATCGCTGTGGGGCTCAGCCCCACCACCTCCGTCAGCGCCGGCTGCGTGCCGCTGTGCCCACCACGGCTCTGTTGGCCCTTGTCCCGGCGAGCGCGGCCGTGTAAGCACCACAGGTTACACGGCTGCGTCACATGCGCTCACCGTGTAATCTTCCAGCGAAAATAGCCCCCTCACGTCTGTGCAATTACATAATGCTGTAATCACGGTGTAGCTGCAGAATAAATACAGACTTCGCAGCCGGCGCGAAGCAGCGCTTGCCTCCCACACCGGCTAATTTCAACCTGGGAACATCTTGCCAGAGCAGTAAAAAAAAAAAAAAAATAAAAAAAAAATTCCTAACTGTGGGTCTGCTGTTCATAATTAGCACTGCCAGACCTGGTTATTTATTCAGAGCCATAAACACCCCACACGCGTGATTAGAGCATCTGGGAGCCCATTAAAATCTGGGCTCTCCCAGAGATTTGAGAGGGTCTCGGTGCCACGGCATGGAATAATGCAATTTTACATGTTCCTGCCGTGACAGCAGCGTTGTGTGGCTGCGTCTCGATTGATGCGTAATGATAACGAGGGGTAAGGTATGCTTGCAGCCGGCTTAAACGGGGTCGGAAGGCATGGGAGCTGAGCTCTGCCACGCTGCCCAGCGAAGGAGAGGAGGGTCCGATTCTGCATTACCTCATGTTTGAGCTGGGCCAGAGGGGACTCTGCCTCTGTGGGGTTTGTCTTGGGATCCTGGAGTTACACAAGCAGCTTCAGGAGGCAGAGTTAAGCCCTGAACTTCGATTTCCACTTTTAGGACCAACTGATAGAGAGGAGGGTCAAACACCAAGCCCCAGCGTCCCTTCCCCAGACCCCGGCAGCACTGCGAGTTGGGGTCTCACGCGGGCTGTCTTGGGGTCCTGTGGGATCAGCTCTTGGCCCATCGTGTTTCCACAGTCCTCACTGGCCCCATCCTGCTGTAACTGCTGTGTCCGTCCTTGCAGGGCAATACAAAGATCAACACGTTCAACTGGTCCAAAATTCGCAAACTGAGCTTCAAGAGGAAGCATTTTCTCATCAAGCTCCACGCAAACATCTCCGTAAGTACCGCGCTGCGGGCAGCGTGCCAGCCTCAGGCGCAGGCAGCTGTGGACCGAAGATGAGCCATGCAAAGTCCCTGATTTTGAATAAAATCTGTTTCAGCTGCTCATAGGTGATGCTCCTTTCCCCTTGAGTGTGGCACGTGCCACCCCCTGTGTACCCCGTGGGGTGACGCTGCACTACCCGGAGCCACCAGTGCGATCCTTTGGGGGGGTGATGAGGGCGAAGGGCAGAGCTTGCACCCCCCGTGCCCCTCACGCTTGTCCCCGGCCACGCAGGCGCTGTGCAAGGACACGCTGGAGTTCACTATGGCGAGCCGGGATGCCTGCAAGGCTTTCTGGAAGACGTGTGTGGAGTACCATGCCTTCTTCAGGCTGTCTGAAGAGCCCAAGTCGAAGCCCAAAGCCCTTCTGTGCAGCAAGGGCTCCAGCTTCCGCTACAGGTGAAGTTCCCGGGGGAAAAGCGAACACGGAGGGATGGCTCAGAGCCTGCCGTTTGTGTCGGGCCGGGCTAGATGCGTGGGGATGATGATGCTGCTTTTCCCAGAGAGACCGCTGCCGCGGTCCTGCAGCATCCCCTCACCTCCCCTGGGATGCGGGGATGCCCAGGGCTGACGGTGCTGCTCACACCTCTCCCCCCACTCTCCTTTCTGCAGCGGGAGGACGCAGCGGCAGCTGCTGGAGCATGGGAGGAAGGCGAAGATGAAGAGCCTGCCCTTCGAGAGGTACCGGGGGGGGATGGGGGGGGGCAGCACC